ATCTGATGTCTTTTATCTGACACGTGTTGACATGCGTTCTGCTCAATGTTGGGTTAGGACATAACAATACATGTATACATGTCAATTCATTATTAGATTCAATGAAATAGTGTTAACATTGCTGGTATTGTCTAGTACATGTATATACTGGTATGGAAAATGAAATAATTTTAATTAATCTAGAATGATTATAAATTTCATGTATATTTTTATATGGATAAAATAAATTAAGGGTTGGCAGGCAATTAAAGTAAAAGCCTACTCATAAATTAAAATATCCAGAATTTATTCATTTTGCAATTAATTGTACTCGAAGGCATACAAGTATATACAAATAGTTTGGGATAACTAGCCAAATTGAGAAAATGATTTTTATATTTTAGTGGATAGTTTTGGCAGTATTATATAATGCTTTTACTATACATGTAGGTTCCTATGGTAGAGATATTATGCCATATCCAAAACTGTAGGCTTGGTGAAAACATCATATATTGTTAAGGATGGGGTACTTTTTGTTTTCCTTAGTTATTTCAAAAATATGGGTTTTAAAAAATTGATTTTCTTCAACATTGTGTTCTATGGAATTGTTCCAAAAATAATGATTTTTAGCTCTGCTGTTGACTTTGTCAAATGTACTTTAGAGACAAATAGCCAAGAATTGATTCTTCTGCAGAGTGAACATTTCAGAATAAACAGAGGTAAAAAAAATTTGTTTATTTGTTTTCAGGTCGAACGGTTGCAGTGGATTGGGCAGTTCCTAAACTCAAGTATGAGGATGCTATGAAGCAGGAAAAGGAAAAAGCAGAGAGACTGAAAAATGAGAAAAAAACTGAAACCGTTGAACAATCTTCAAACAAAAAAAATACTCCCAAAGCTCAAAAGGAAGACAAACAAAGGAGTAAAAGTAGTGCTAAAAATGATCAAAACAAACAAATTATACAAAAAAATGTAAAACCATCAAAAAACCAAAAAGATGAGAACTCAGTAAAAAGTCTAAATAAACCAGATAATTTGTTGAAAGATAAAGCAAAAAGGACTGCACAAACAATACCAGAGAATAATAAAATTAAAAAACAACAAATAAAAGACAAGAAGATATCAAAACCTGAAAAGAAATCACTTATTGAAGGTACAGGCATTCAAATTTTATAATTTCTACTTTTTTTTAAAAGAAATAAGATTATTTTATTTGGGAATGTATATGTATGTATATGTTAACATTACAAGAATTATTGTCTTATCAAAAAATAGAAGTGAATATTGGGTGTGGTATAGCATATGAAACTGATGAAGTCGATTACAGCCAAAACATAGTCAGCTTGGACGTTCAGTTGTGAGACATGACAAAATAAACGCAGCCAGTTATACATTTCGAGAATAAAACAACAAAATAAACGCAATCAAAGACACCGACCCCGTGCGCTGGAAATGAATAGAACATGTTGCGGCAAAGAGTCTCACCTGTTTCTTTTACTCACAGAAACGCCACACGCACATGCTATTTCTGTATATTTTGGCAACACCGGAAGAGACAAGTTAAAATCATGTTTGTATTAATGTAACATGAAAGCAACGGTGAATATATGTTTATCAATCATTAAACTAAACATTCAATGTTATATACATGAAGCTGACTGCGGCGGTTATGTGGCTAAGACGGAGGACATGTGACAGTATTATTATGTTTGTCTACTACACGTGCAAGTAACTTTCCAATGAAAACGTGATTAGAATAAGCAATAATTTCTAGTACTGCATGGAGAATTGCGTATTATTAGTTGTCATCAGACTTATCCCTATACAGGATTTTTTGAACAATGTCTCAAATTTCTGAAAGAATATTCGAATACTAGTTGGGGCTTAGAACTTAGAATATGTATTTTAAGGTATATGGTTGGGGTAATATGAAATAAATACTTAGTATCCATATGATCTTTTGAAAAATCAGCTAAACAGTTCACAACCACGATTATGGTGAATTGGCAAGTTTTCAACGGCGAAAACGGCTCCGGTCATGAGCAGAGTTTGCTGTGTCATGAAGTCAACATTTTACAATGTTGAACACTTTTCGTTCTCGACATTGTGAAATTATTTCGTTTTTTTGGGGAAAAGAAAACTTTTTTATATTGAGAATAATTCATAACGAAATGTATTCCATATGCACCCATAAATTATTTTCATAATTACTGATTACACACGAATATTCTTGTTTACACATCATGTTCAGGATGTTTTAGCGAGTGCTCCGCGGGGTATGTAGCGTGTTTTCACACTTGCATAATTTTGCTCAAGTTCACTCATTCGTTTCCCACATGCACAGAGTGTTTGAAAATAGCATAATTATATTGCGTGAGTGGCTGGTGAGACTGTGTCACAATGTGTTCTATTTATTTCCAACGCACATGGCCGGCATTTATTTTGTATTTTTATTTTCGAAATATAGCACTTGCTGCGTTTATTTTGTCATGTCTCGCAACTGAACGTCCAAGCTGACTTTGTTTTGGCTGTAAGAACAATCAACTGCATTATTTGCTTTTCGATGATTTGTTGTGAATCCCAAAGAAGTTTGTCTGAACAAAATGCTGGAAAAAATATCTGAACTCAACAACACTTATAAATACCTATGTTACTATTTTACTTTTTATTCGCACATTTGTTTGTCTAGATATAATGACTTCAGAAACAATAAATATAGTGTCATCATTTGAAACAAACGCTATTTATATTTATATGAAAATTTCACCTTTCATTTGGATTTCAATTTTCTATTTAGGATTGATCATGCATGCAAATTGCATGGGTATAAGTGTGTAGGTTGCAGACATATTTACCTTAATACCAAACCAGAATATGAATATGTTGCTGAGTTACTTATTGGCAACTTTGGTATGGCAAGGGCAAGGTGGATTCCCTGATCAGTAGTATCCATGCTAAAAGACTTGTAACCTGTCTTATTAGTGCAAAATATGATGAATGAATGTGAACAATCACTGAGATAGAACAAGTAAACATATATGCGCTACAGCCATCAATTGTACTCTTGAAATCACAACATAATGTAATTGTTGAATCTTGTTTAGATGATGGTGATAAGGAGGATGGTTACCATAGTGATAGTGATGGTGATGTTTCTTCTGAATGCAGTGTTGATGAAGATGATGATGATGTTGACAGTGATGATGAAGATGATGATGATGATGAGGAGGAGGAGGAGGATGATGATGATGATGATGATGAGGAGAAGTTTTCAATGAAACCAAAACGACCAAGTGATGCCTCTGAAGGGAAAACACTATTTGTTAGGTATGTACTATCATAAGATGTTTGGACATCAGAGTTTGAATATAGAGTCTTGTTAGCATGAGGAAAGTATGTAAACTACATGTACGTTTATTTTTATTATTATGAATGCCAATCATGAATTTATTCCCCAGTGACCTTATTATTCATACTAATGAGGTTTGACTGTAAGCCCTGCTCATGGCAAGTCCTTGAAAAATCTGTTAGGGAAGAGTAGGAAATCAAACGGGCGGTGCACCGTGGTCATTACCGCAGTGGTGGTGGGTGCTCGCCGGTCGACTGCATTTTATGCAAATTTATGCAAAGATTCCATGACGCCATCTGACCGCGGTCTTCC